TATTTTAAGCTCCTAGTGCTGCAGGAGCCGGGTGCCATCTCTGTGCTCGGGAAGAAAGTCCTGCATCGCCTCCAATTTGGCTTTGCCTTTGGAAATTTGCCTTAACCATGAGAGCTACAAATCTAATATTTTAATTAATGGCTGGAAACTGGTTGCTCTAGACCCTTCCCTACGTCGGGAGAAGCCAGGCGGCAGCGCTGGGCGAGCTCTGCTCTGTAATTCTTTGTGCTCCGGGATCTGGTTCCAGGGTTGGGTTGGGGTTTGTTTTTTCCTTCTTTTATTTTCCTCCTCTTTTTGGATTTCGGCTTTGTAAGGAAGCGCCCCCGGGGTAAAATTGCTGTGTGGCAGCGTAGCCCAGTCGGGGGAGTCTGAACTTTAAACGAAGCCATCTCCGAATCCCTCCCCATTTCCTGGAGCGAACACCGGGCCTCAGGGCCGAAGACATTTGGGCTCCTGCGGATCAAAGGGGAGGAGAATCCCAACAGCTTAAAACTCCGGCCGTATGGCGAAAACGGGCCCTGCGACTCTCTTTTGAAGGCCCCTGGTTTTGCAGCCCAACAAAACCCGCGTTTCGCCGGGCTGGCCTCGCCACGGCCCCGACGTGCTGCGTTTCGGGCCGCCGGCGCCCCTCTCCGAGCCAGGTTTGCCCTTCGCCTGCCCCTCGCTGCCCCCAAAAGCTCTCGCAGTCGCTGTGAAGCACCGGCTGCAGAAAGGCCTCGGGGGGACCCGCGCGGCTGCGGATCCCAGGGGTTTAGCCGGGGTTTCTCCCGTCTCCCTCCGTGTCCTCGGGCGCCATTTCCGCTGCGCATCCCCCTGCCGCCCCCGGCCGAGCCCCGCGCGGCCGTCCCCGGAGCTCCGCTCGCTCGGGCCGGGCTCGAGGGAGGCGAGACGGCTTCTCGGGTGGTTTTGAAGCGCGTAACCGTAGGCACGGGATGAGACTTGGCCAGTCAGCAGCCAGCGAGTCACACGAGGGCAAAACGAGCTCCTGCCCTTGCCATGGGATGGGTCTTTCCTTTAAGAGTTGAGCTTTGTCCACTCACTCCTTTTTTTTTCCACTCATTTTTATCTTCTTTCTTAATTTTCCCTCCCTTCTCTGTGTTTTCAACTCCGTTTTTTTTTCTGCTGGGAAGTCAATACGAACTTGCTTTCGCACCTGCTCTTCGTTATTCCTTAGTGCCACTTGTGAGGGTCTCCCTGCTTGACTCATCCCAACCCGACCGGTGACAAAGATGCTCCTTAAA